TTCAAAGACTGTGTTCCTAACCACGAAACTACACAGACTCTTACTATATTATTGCCTTATTCATAAGGCTGCACTGGATTGAGGTCCTCTTATGTGGGTGTATTAAGATTCTAGTGAAATGGTTGGTATTTGTTTCCTGACCTTGCTGCCTGTGAATATCCTGCATTCTTCTTGGACTAATGTAGATTGGTCGGTGATATTTAGAACTAATGTCCTTTATTAACTGAGTCAGAAAAACTGATTATTAACAATAATTATTTCCAGGAGCTAGAATGTGCAAGGTACTCTTTCTCTTTCTAAGTTTTACAGTTTTATAATATTTGTGTGTGTGTGTGTGTGTGTGTGTTTCAAACAACAGTCATTGGGACACCTGGTTGGCTTAGTTGGTAGAGCATCTGACTCTTGGATCATAGGGTCATGAGTTCAAGCCCCATGTTGGGCATGGCGCCTACTTAAATAAACAAACAAATAAATAAAACCAAGTCATGCGTAAAATTAGGAATGAACAACAAATATTGCTAAGTTTGAAAAAAAAGAGAAAAACTGGATGCTTAGTCTGGAGCTGTCATCAACCACCATGAACCCTCTTGGCTTCTTCATGTGCAAATTGAGGGATTAGATAATCTTCCAGCTCATTCTATGATTCTAACCGAAAGTTGACAACCACTCAGACTGAATGTACATTCCGGTCTCCCTGGATTCTGGTGCCTGCTGTGGAATTTCCGGTCTTCCCACTGTGCCGTGAGGATGATTTGTCCTGTTTGTGTCCCTCTTTTATGTATTTATGTTTTTTCTTACTAGCACATGAGTTGTACAGAAACTTTTAATGAATCATTTCAACAGCGGAGGCAGTGATTCCACCGGGTTTTATGGAAATTCCACTTAAAATTTATGATTTTCACAATTAACTTGAATCTTTATGCCTAGTTATCACAGGTTGGATGTGTGCCACTGAACTGAACTGAACTGAACCCCCCCCCTTTTTTTTTAATTAAAAATGATCACTGTAAGGTGTGCCTGGCTGGCTGAGTCAGTGGATGATCTCTGGGTTGTGAATTCAAGCCCCATGTTCATTGGGTGTAGAGATTACTTAAGAATAAATTTTTTAAAAAATGCTATCATTTATCACTGTCTGCTTTGTGCTAGGTATCGTGCTAAGAGATTTGTAGATTTAACTCCATGATCTCATTTAATCCACACAAAAAACTTGGTGAGTGATATGCTCTGATTATCCTCACCATCATTTCCATTTTACAGATTAGAAAACTAAGGCTTAGGTTAAGTGATTCACTGTTTGCTTTGGATTTACCTGGAATTTCTGTTTTAGTTATCTATTGCTATGTAACAAGCCACCACAAAAATCAGTGGCTTGAAACAAACACCTTTGTATTATCTTTCCTGATCCTATGAGTTGACTGGGCTCAGCTGGCCAGTTCTTGTCCGGGGGCAGTTAGGCTCAAGTAGGACACTGGGACATCTGGCCTTTCTCTCTCTCTCCATATAGTCTTGTATCTGCCTGTATGGCCTCTTTGTGTGTTCTTTCCACAGGGCAGATTGAATTTACGAGGCTTCTCAAGGCTTTAAAAAAACATGCAAGCAGAACTTGCTGCCTGGGCTCAGAAACCTCACCTTCGTCGTATTCTGTAGGTTAAAACGAATCATAGAGCCAGTCCATATTCTAAGAGGGGTCACATGAGGATGGAAAGACAGGAAGCATTGTTCATTAGGAGCATTGTGGGAGATTTGCCCCCGTAGATGGTAAGTAACACTGAATTGGGACACTTGGCTAGAGGGAAATAAGAGACCTCTGGACTTCTCAGAAAGATGAAGGAGAAATTGAGAAGTAGTAAAGAAATAGAGAAGAGGTTGGCTTCCCTGGCTGACAGAGAAATATGAAAACAAAGGAGAAGAATATTTCAGGGTTTTTTTTTTTTCAGGGTTTTGAAATACAGTGTGAAATTTCATGTAAAAAATCTAAGGGCAAATCAGAATAATCAAATAATCTTGAAAAAGAAGAAGAAAGTTGAACTCCCACTTCCCAGTTCAAACACTTTACAGTCATCAATACAGTGTGCTTCTGGCATAAGAATAGACATGCAAAGCTATAGGGTATATGAAGAGTTCAGAAATAAACTTTTACTCAGCTGATTTTCAACAAGGGTTCTAAGATAAATCAGTGGGGGGAAGAACAGTCTTTGTAATTAGTGCTGCTGGGACAACTGAATAGCCATATGCAAGATAATGAAGTCAGATCCCTTCTTTGCCCTGGACACAAAAGTTAACTCAAAATGGATTATAGACCTAAATATAAGACAAAACTCTTAGAAGAAAACCTAGGAACTCACTCTTAGGTTTGCATAACTTTGTCTTAGGCAAATATTCCTCTCCAAACACACAACAACAAAACTGGTGATTAGGTTTCATTGCTTTAAAAGAGTAGGGCTTTAGGTTTGTTTTTTTTTTTTTTCAGTGTCTATTCTATGTTTGGCACTATTCCAGGTGCTTTATTTTTATTTTTTAAAAGATTTTTATTTATTTCTTTGACAGAGAGAGAGAGAGAGAGAAAGAGAGAGCACAAGGAGGCAGAACCGCAGGCAGAGGGAGAGGAAGAAGCAGGTTCCCTGTTGAACAGAAAGTCTGATGCGGGGATCCATCCCAGGACCGTGGGATTGTGATCTGAGCCGAAGGCAGACGCTTCAATGGCTGAATCACAGGCACCCCTTTAGGTGCTTTATATATCTAAATTCATTTAGTACTCAAAACAACCCTATGGCAGGTATTGTTCTTGTCCCCATTTTATAGACAAGGAAAGTAAAGTATTGAGGGGTTAAGTAACTTGCTAAAGCCACACAGCTAGTAAGTAAAAGAGATAGGATTTGGGTCCAGATAGTCGGGGTCCAGGGGCTATGCTCTCCCGTCGCCTGTCCTCTGACCCAGCACTTCCACATCTCAGAATCTTCTGAAAACTCTAGCCCATGTGCCCAAAGATACACCATTCAAAATATTCACCACAGCACGATGGCAATAGGGGAAAATTGGAAATCATTTAAATATCCATTAAAAGGCCATGGTTGGGGCACCTGGGTGACTCAGTCAGTTGAGCATCCAATTCTTAGTTTTGGCTCAGGTTGTGATCTCAGGTTGTGGATGGAGCCCCAAACCAGGCTCCACACTCAGCGGAGAGCCTGCCTAGGATTCTCTCTTGGGGGGCCTGGGTGGCTCGGTGGTTGAGCATCTGCCTTTGGCTCAAGTTGTGATCCTGGGGTCCTGGGATTGAGTCCTACACTGGGCTTCCTGCAGGGAATCTGTTTTTCCCTCTTCCTATGTCTCTGGCTCTCTCTCTCTCTCTCTCTGTGTGTGTATCTCTCATAAATAAATAAATAAAATCTTTTAAAAAAAGGTACTTTATTCATGATAAAAGTACCTTGCAAAACTACCTGCCTGTGTATCCTGCTTCAGCAAGATTCATCATTTGTGTGCAAGTGTGTATATACCCCCAATATTAGTCATCACCCCTAGGAAATGAGATTAAAGGGAATGCAAGGAAGACTCTTACTTCTTTATGTATTCATATGTTCTTTTGATTTTGAAGAAAAACATATATGCCTTTGATAATTAAATTTAATTCCTTTCCAAAATCAAAGAATCTGAAAGGCTAGTCATGAATCTTCCATCAAGAAGAGTTGTGAGGTGCACATGGTTCAGTTGGTTGAGCATCCAACTCTTGGTTTCAGCTCAGATTGTGATCTCAGGGTCGTGAGATCGAGCCCCATGGGGCTCCACACTCGCTGGGGTGTCTGCTTGAGTTTCTGTCCCCCTTCCTCTCCCTCTGGCCCTCCTCAACTCCCTCTCTAAAAAAAGAATAAACAAATAAATAAATGTTGTGAACAGACCTTCTCTCCCCAGTGGATCTCATGGCATCACCTCTTACCAGATTCCCTCAGACCCCCAGGACTTTTCATTCCTATCCCATTGACTGTCCTGCAGCTCCCAGGTAACCTGCTTTCTTACCACATCCTCTCTCACTGGGATACCTTTCCCCATTGAGTCATCTAGTTGCCTCCTTTGTCACCTTCAGGGCTAAGTTCAGGAGTCACTTCCTCTGAGAAGCCCTCCTCAGCCCCCCTCCCCCCCCAGGTCAAGATGAAGTCCTTGGGCTGTCCTGCAGAACCTTATTCTTACCACTTTCACACAGTTACCCTGAATGGTAGTTTGATTTTTTTCCTTGGTTTCTGCAATAGAACCCACAGGGTCAGGGGCTTTGTTTTCCATTTATGTTTCTACTGTGCCTGGTACAGAGTTGGTGCCTAATAAATGGAATGAGAGCAGCCCAGGTGGCTCAGCGGTTTAGCGCCACCTTCAGCCCAGGGCATGATCCTGGAGACCTCATGTTGGGCTCCCTGCATGGAGCCTGCTTCTCCCTCTGCCTGTGTCTCTGCCTCTCTCTCTGTGTGTCTCTCATGAATAAATAAATAAAATCTTTAAAAAAAAAAAAAAGGAAGAAAGATGGAATGAATGAGTGAATGAATGAACGAATCTTTACAAGGATAAAGTATTAACCGCTTCCCACTCCTACTATATCATCACTGGACGGTGAATATAGTTATCTGTCTGTCCTATTCCATCTCAAACCGTGTGTGTGTGTGTGTGTGTGTGTGTGTGTGTGTGTGTGTAAATAAATATATAAAATTTAGGGCCCCAGCTTCATGAGTGAGCTCAAAAGGGGCCTGTGTTTACTCAAACAAAGCTAAATTCCTCTTCCTTACAATTTCTGAAGAACACTTGGTAAGATCTCTTTTTCATCACATTGTGAATTGAAAAATTGGAGTCTGGACTGTGCTTGGGTTTTTCATTTTCCTTCTTTTTTGTTTGTTCTTGCTGGTTCTTAGTGAGAATCTCTGCCTACCTGAGATTCTGGATTTTTACACTACTTTTTTCAAAGCGTATGGTCTTAGGAGTCACACACACAGAATGCAGACTTTCTTTTGGAAACCGTCTTTATTAAAATGAAGCAACAGAGGAGCAGCCCAGGAATGAATTATGAGCAGGGATAGAATCAAAAGCAGAAGTGTGGGGCTTCCACAGATTTCTTTTTGGAGGATATATGGTTCTCTGAGGCAGATAAGAATCCTGCTTTCACTCCTCCCCAGGCAGCTGGGGAGTGAGGAAATTCAGGTAGTGACAGTACAGCAGCTACTTGGGGTGGCAAACTCCGAGGGAAATGGCTTCTATGCCTCATCATCTTTGTGTGCAAACTGCATTAATGTCAGAAGTCATAATATTGAGTACTTCCTGCCAGACACAGAACTTAATGCTCCATCTGCACTTGTGTATTGAGCACCTATGTGCGGGCACTCTTCTAGGCACTGGAGGCATAACAGTGAACAGAATCCCTATGCTTGAAGACAAACCATGAGAGACTCCTAACTCTGGGAAACAAAGGGTTGCAGAAGGGGAGGTGAGTGGGGGGATGGGGTGACTGGGTGACAGGCACTAAGGAGGGCACTTGATGGGATGGGGAGTGAGTGTTATACTATATAATGGCAAATTGAATTTAAATTTAAAAAAAATTTTAAAAAGCACCCCTGTGCTTCGGGAGCTTACGTTCATGGAATCTGCCCACCAACCTCTTGACATCTACGTTATTGTTACTTCTGTTTGACATATGAAAAAAATGGAAGCTGAAGGTTTAAATAAAATCTGCCCTCAGGTGGGAATGTGAACTGGTGCAGCCACTCTGGAAAACTGTGTGGAGGTTCCTCAAAGAGTTAAAACTTGATCTGCCCTACGACCGAGCAGTTGCACTGCTGGGGATTTACCCCAAAGAGACAGATGCAGTGAAACGCCGGGACACCTGCACCCCGATGTTTCTAGCAGCAATGTCCACAATAGCCAAACTGTGGAAGGAGCCTCGGTGTCCATCGAAAGATGAATGGATAAGGAAGCTGTGGTCTATGTATACAATGGAATATTCCTCAGCCATTAGAAATGACAAATACCCACCATTTGCTTCGACGTGGATGGACCTGGAGGGTATTATGCTGAGTGAAGTTAGTCAATCGGAGAAGGACAAACATTATATGGTCTCATTCATTTGGGGAATATAAAAAATAGTGAAAGGGAATAAAGAGGAAAGGAGAAAAAATGAGTGGGAAAAATCAGAGAGGGAGACAGAACATGAGAGACGCCTAACTCTGGGAAACGAACTAGGGGTAGTGAAAGGGGAGGTGGGTGGGAGGTGGGGGCGACTGGGTGACAGACACTGAGGTGGGCACTTGACGAGATGAGCACTGGGTGTTATTCTATATGTTGGCAAATTGAACACCAATAAAAAAATAAATTTCTTAAAAAAAAACCTGTCCTCAGATTATACACCTAGTAAGTGGTTGAGCAGGGATTCAAATTTAGGTTCATCTGACTTTCCAGAGCCCATACTTTTCATTGCTGGGTATGGAGTGCCTCTGCAAAAGGAAATAATAAAAACAGCTGATAGGAGTGTTTCAAGGCCAAAGAACTAAAATCTGGTAAGGTCATCTGGGGCAGAGAGTACCCTGGAAATTTGAGAATGTGTAAACAAAAGAGCCAAGAATGACTTTCACCACTCTGTGGCTTGAGAACAGAGCTAAAGATGGCTTGGACTCCTTCCCCCTAATCCAGGGCCGGGGCAGCCTGTCATTTCATAGAATCATTCAGTTTTGAGGGCTCCAAGTACACGTGTGGGAAATTCATGTGCATAAGGGGCATCACCCTTCCCACCCTTTAGTGTTTGTACAGAAATCTGAAACGAGAGGAACATACTGATGTTTGCAATGAACAGGTCTAGAAACTATATTCCCTGAGAGGTTAGTAAGAGAGAGAGTATTAACCTTTCTGTTTGCCCCCCCCCCGCCCCCAGATACTTTGCTGTCACACAGGGCTTAACTAACAACCCTCCAGGTAAAAGGGAGACTAGCACAGTGCCCAGCATGTATATGAATTCAGTAGATACTTGGAAAATGAATGAATAAGTAATCTCAACTCGTAGTCATATAACAAGCAGTCAGAAGCAATCACCCTGGGCTCAGCCCTTTGCAAAGGCCAATGGGATTTTTTTTCAAGCGCTCAGCTCTCCCTGGAAACATATCCCTCAGCACCTTCTTTGAAATGCAAAGGCTTGCAGAAAAATGCAGAGGTCAGAGAAGATCAGAGCAGATGGTTTTGCTGCCCTTCTTCTTGGGCTACTGAGAAATCAGAGCCATACAGAGAGGCCCTGTGAAGATGAAATTCGTCAGGATCAAGACAACTCCCTCTGAAGAGCCTCACTCAGCCTAATATCAAGCTGTTGACTTACTCTGGAATCTACTTTCCAAAACAAGTAACAACTTAAGGTCAGAGGATAGGAAATACTGCTAAGTCATTAAGTTCACTGATGCTCCCAGGAAAAGGATATGTCCGGTGTACATATTGGTACCTATTTACTCAGCCACTTGAAACTGCCCAGGAACTGAGCTCTTGCCATAGCCCCACCCAATACACACACGCTCCGTTCTGTGCACATACTGTCCTGTCCTTGTAACTGGGTCCTAGAAAGGTAACCCACTCACTTCTCAACTGGAACCTTCCAAAAAGCCACAGTGACCTGGATTCCACTTCCAGATAGAGTGAGGAGGATACAGCTGAGGAAGGGTGGCATTTTCAAAGCCTTCTCACCCCCTTGGCATGAACTATTTCTAAGTCCGTTCGTCTGTCCTCCTTGGGTCTTGACTGTCTGCCTGTTTCAGTGCCATTCCACACATTTGAAGATCCTGCTGCTCATTGGATTGGCTCTGGAAGCTGTTTGCCACATGGACACAACTCTTGCGACAGAGCTTTGGGATTGGCATCTCTTCCGGCCTCTGGGTCTTGGAGTGCCCTGGACTCTTTGGTCGCAAACCGCGGATCTTGAGCTTGGTGTAGAATTTGGGGAATACAGGACTCGAAAAATAATACACCAGAGGATCCAGCATGCTGTTCATGTAGGTGAAGCTGAGGGTGATGTGGAGGGCTACGTGGACAGAGGGGTCGCAGGCACTCGAGGGCACAGTCCAGAGGAAATAGAGTCTGGCCGACACGCTGGGCAGGTAGCACGTGATGAACACAACCGCCACAACCATGATGAACCGGGTAGCCTTCTTCATCCGAGTCTGCCTGGCCAGCTGCCGCCTCTGCTTCAGACTCCAAATAATCTTGAAGGAGCAGAACAGGATGATGCCGAGAGGGAGGAAGAACTCCAGCTGGAACATGATGTCGTGCCAGCCATTGGCTGACTCCATGATGAAGCTCTCACAAGATATGGTCTTCTCATGCACGCACAGATGGTTCTCCATCAAAAGGTAGAGAGTGCCCAGGATGACCATGATCCAAAGGGCACAGACGATGCCAGCCGCTGTCCGGTTGGAGATGGTGTTCAGCACGTGGTGGGGGTGGACCACTTTGAAGTACCTGTCCACCGCCACCACAGTGAGGAAGATGATGCTCCCAGCCCTGTTCATGGCCAGCATGAAGAGCGCCACCCGACACGGAATGTCCTCAAAGGCCCATTGCCTGTGTCTCCAGTAGTAGTCTGTCCGGAAGGGCAGGCAGATCATGAGAAGGAAGTCGGCCACGGCCAGGTTAAAAAGGTAAATAGTGCTCGGCTTCCAGGTCTTCATGTAAAAGCAGAAACCACAGAGGGCCATGCCATTGCCCAGTGCGCCCAGCACGAAGGCCAGGATCAGCAGCGGTGGCATCACCTGAGAGATGGGGTCCCCCTCGATGAGGCAGCACGACCCGTTGTCCATGGTGGACAGTGGACAGGTGTCCCATGTGCGGGGGGGCCCTGGGAGTCCCCACAGAGACACAGACGCTTATCTGAAGGCTACCACTCACCCAGCTGCTGGTTTCTTGACTTCTTCAGCCTGGGATGCGGGTACCAACTGCACGTGTGGGTGGACACAGCCACCGCTGGGAAGACAGAGACTTCAGCCAGGGGATGAGAGACTCAGGGAGGTCCTTCCTTGGCAGGCTGTCCCAGGCTACCTGTCTCCCCACCAGGTGAAGCATGGAGAAATGCAAGTGGTCATTTCTGGGCGGCAGGCAGGTCCAGTGAGATTCATGGAGCAGTTGCTGGGTCCAGCCCCAGAACGGTTTTTCTCTCCAGCCTCACTCTTGCTATTCAGACTCCTGCGCTGGAGAGCATGCAAAGCTGCCCAGAAGGCACGAAAAAAGCTTGTTTGTCCTCCCTCCCGGTGGAGAAATACAAACATTTCCTGGAGCCGTTCTGGGCCTCTGCCCCTAACCTTTGCCTGACTGCCCCGTCCTCTCCCTATCCCATGGGGCTCTCCCAGGCGGTGCCAGAGGGGGAGGCTTTGCTCCACAGCTCCTCAGACCCATTTCCGCTGCCCACACTAAAAAATACAGCACTTTAAATTCAGAAGGGTCTGTGGAGGGGGAAAAAAAGCTAGAAAAGCTTTTCTCGAGCTTATTTTTAGCTAACAAAGCTAAAAGTAGCACTTGTTGGGTGTTAGAAAAACTCTGTGGAGTGCGTCTTCTTCCCTGCATTCACACCCCTGCCCTTTGCATCCTCCCTTGAACCCAAGTGATCCGTTACACAACTAGCAAGACCATGCAGTGGAGCTGAAGTCACCTCTCATGAGTCTGTCTCCACGCAACAGCCTCTTGGGGAGCCGGTTCCTCTCTCTGCTGTTTGCAAAAGAGGATTTGGCTCTGAGTTTCCCACTGGTCGTTCAAAAGAGCCAAATACCAAATGATAGATATGCTTTTAATTTTAACTATGTGCTGAGCGCATTGCTGGGGCGAGTGAGGGTTGGGCAGTTGGTCAAGGAGTCTATCTCTAAAATAATCATAGGTAAAAAGAGACTGCACCCAAGCCCAGAGATTTTACTAAAATGTCCTATCCTTTGGCTTTAGAGATGATCTATCTGCCCTATTCCTTTCAGCTCCTAGCTTAGGAAAGGGGTGCAGGGGCGGGAAATACATTGAGAGAATGCATATACTCCTTCTTCCAGTTGCTGATTAAAGCAAAGTTCCTTCCACTGAATCCTGGACTCCAGATCAGCCACGACATCTCCCCCCACCCCACTGTGACTGCTGCCACCTCCCACCTGTAGAAACTATTGAGAGTTTCCTGACTGGTTTCCTTTCCTCTAATCTATTCCCTGTAATTCCTTTCCCACAGCACCATGTGATTTTTTTCTAAAGCACAGATGGGATCATATCCTTTTATAAAAAAAAAAACCTTCATCTGCTCCCTTCAAGCTGCCAAGGTGATTGGTGTATGGCCTGTGAGCCATATCTGGTTCTAAAGCCAGTTGGTTTCAGGCCACATGTTTTAAGAACTTAGGACTGTCCTGGGGCGCCTGAGAGGCTCCAGTCGGTTAAGTGTCTGCCTTCGGCTCAGGTCATGATCCCCAGGTCTTGGAATCCAGCCCCGCATTGAGTTCCCTGCTCAGCAGAAAGCCTGCTTCTCCCTCTCCCTCTGCCTGCTGCTCTGCCTACTTGTGCTCTCTTTCTCTCTGTCCAATAAATAAATAAAAACTTAAAAAACAAAACCAAAAAAACCCCTTAGAACTGTCCTATAAAAACCTGGATTTCCAGACTTTCTTGGAAAACTGGAAGATCTGGCTGCTCTGGGCCACACAGCAACCATCAGCTGGAGCTGAGAGTAGCCGCTCCCTGTGTCAGGGGCATTCTCCATTTTGCCCCAGTCCCACCTCTCCCTATTACCTAGTTAGCTTCACTCATTTACATGCCTGGCTTCTGTGGGATTTTAAGTTTGCCACATCTGCTCTAGGCTAAAAGTCACATTTGTCAGATTGGTATACCAGGTTCTTCACGGATGGGCCTTGTGTACCTTTCCAATGCCATCCTGCTACTTTTTCTCCTCACACCTTGTTAGTCTCATAACTTCTAATAAATATGTCCGTTTAGCCCCCCTGCTAATCCAAGAGGTCCTTGGAGACAGAGTCCATGTTCTTGGTAAATACCTGAATACCATCAGGCTGGATTTTTCAACAAATGGTAAGTATTCCTCATTCTTTTTTTTTTTTTTTTTTTTTTAGTATTCCTCATTCTATGCGAGCAGACACTGTTAGGATTCTTGTAAACAGGGGATCCCTGGGTGGTGCAACGGTTTAGTGCCTGCCTTTGGCCCAGGGCGCGATCTTGGAGACCCGGGATCGAATCCCACGTCGGGCTCCCGGTGCATGGAGCCTGCTTCTCCCTCTGCCTGTGTCTCTGCCTCTCTCTCTCTCTCTCTGTGACTATCAAAAAAAAAAAAAAAAGGATTCTTGTAAACACAGAGTGCTTCCCTTTTTTCAAATGACTAACACCTGTCTTTTTCCACATTCTTGCGAAAGCACCTTCTCTTTCTCTTTGCAGAATTCTACGGAAGGCAGAGGATTAAGGAAAAAAGAATAGGTTTCCATTTCCCTGAAAGTCTCCTATTGAGAATAGGAGAAGCTGTGCATGTGTGGGACTAGGGGATATGGGAACTCTCTGTATCTTTTTTTTTTTTTAAGATTTATTTATTTATTCATTCAGAGAGAGCAAAGAGAGAGGCAGAGACACAGGCAGAGGGAGAAGCAGGCTCCATGCAGGAAGCCCGATGTGGGACTCGATCCAGAGTCTCCAGGATCACACCCCGGGCTGCAGGAAGCGCTAAACCGCTGCACCACCGGGGCTGCCTCAACTCTCTGTATCTTTCCCTCAGTTTTGCTGTGAAAATAAAACCTCTTTCTAAAAAAAAAAAAAGAAAGAAAAAAAAGAAAGAAAGAAAGAAAGAAATAGTCTAGGGTGCTGTGGCTCAGGTGATTAAGCATCTGCCTTTGGGTCAGGTCATGATCTTGAGGTACTGAGCTACACTTCGGGCTCCCTGCTCTTCGGGAAGTCTGCTTCTCCTTCTTCTGCCCTTCCCCCTGCTGGTGCTCTCTCTTCCTCTCTCCCTCTGTCAAATAAACAAATAAAATCTTAAAAAATAATAATAAAGTAAAGAAATAGTCTTGGGGATCCCTGGGTGGCTCAGCAGTTTGGCGCCTGCCTTTGGCCCAGGGCGTGATCCTGGGGTCCCAGGATCAAGTCCCATGTCAGGCTTCTGGCATGAAGTCTGCTTCTCCCTCTGCCTGTGTCTCTGCCTCTCTCTATCTCTATGTCTATCGTGAATAAATAAATAAAATCTTAAAAAAAAAAGAGTCTTAAAAAATGTAAACCAAATTTTATTATTGATCTTATTTTTACTCCTAGTTACTAATCACAGTGCCTGATGCAAATTGAGGCTTTTTTGATATAAGAATGCAGATTGAATGAACCTCTAAGGTTGTTGCCTGATGCTTCAGAATCCTCCAAATGAGGAAGATATTATTAATTGTCTGGAGCTGAGTGTTTAGTGGGAAATAAAACAACTACATAAATAACAATTTTAAGAAGCACATTGGATAAGCAGATTGAAGTAATATTCTTCAAAATATAGCATACAGGGCGACGCTGGTGGCACAGCGGTTTAGCACCACCTGCAGCTCGGGGTGTGATCCTGGAGACCCGGAATCGAGTCCCACATCGGGCTCCCTGCATGGAGCCTGCTTCTCCCTCTGCCTGTGTCTCTGCCTCTCTGTCTCTCTGTAGCTCATGAATAAATAAATAAAATCTTAAAAAATATATATATAGCATACACACCACAAATGATATGTGAGGTTATTGTGGATGGTGTAATACACACATATATTTTGACTTCGTGGCTACAACTATATTTATTTATTTTAAAGATTTTATTTATTTATTCATGAGAGACATACACAGGGTGGCAGAGACACAGGTAGAAGGAAAAGCAGGCTCCATGAAGGAAGCCTGATGCAGGACTCGATCCCAGGACCCCAGGATCACGCCCTGAGCCAAAAGCAGACGCCCAACTGCTGAGCCACCCAGGTGCCCCTACAAACTTATGTTAAAATGTGTGAAAAAATACAACTGGTCCATGGGAGTTTTGTGAATGAGGGGAATGACGGAGAGCTATTAAAATTTGTAGGGGCAGGGATCCCTGGGTGGCGCAGCGGTTTGGCGCCTGCCTTTGGCCCAGGGCGCAATCCTGGAGACCCGGGATCGAATCCCACGTCGGGCTCCCGGAAGCATGGAGCCTGCTTCTCCCTCTGCCTATGTCTCCGCCTCTCTCTCTCTCTCTCTCTCTCTCTCTCTCTCTCTGTGTGTGTGTGTGTGTGTGACTATCATAAAATAAATAAAAAATTTAAAAAAAAAATTTGTAGGGGCAGAAACGGAAGGAACAGACATTCCAAACACTATGAAGAGTGTAGAAGGAGTGAAAAGACAGGCATTTGAGTTTGGAATCATGGAGTCTGAGAATAGGCCACATAGCTCTGAGTGGAGCTATCTTACAGGGGCTTTGAACTCGGAGGGAGCAGGGAGCCATTTTGGAGTGAGCAGCATCCTGAAGGATCAGGGGAATAGTTGAAAAAGAGAGAGAGAGAAGCAACAGTCTTTTGTTGCCCTCCCGCACCCCAATCCCACCCAGCCCTCCTGCCTGCTCTGGAGCCACAGAGCTGCCTGTTGTTTCCCTCAGGAATCCTGCAGGCTCAAAGCCCATGTGTTCTCTCTAGTGTGTTCTGCGGTGAGCCGCAGAGTGGGTATTTTTGAGGAATGAGGGCCTCCAGACAACTGAAGTCCACTCCTTAAATACCAACACTGAAAAAAAAAGTTTCTCATCCTCTTCTTCAGATTCCACATCAGATAAAGGGAACTGTTAGTGCCAGCCACTTAGCACAAGCCCTAAACTTGGTTCCCTCTTCTTCCTCACGCACCATGATCCCCAGTTGGTCACCCACATGACCTAAATCTCTCTCCAGCCACATTGCTACCACTTCAGCTGGTCCAAGATTCTGGAGGAGTGTGGTAGTCTCCTGATTGTTCCTCCTGCCCCACCCCTGTCTTACTCCTCCTCCAATCCATTTTCCAAAACTCAAATCTGATGATGCTACTCACCTGGTTAAATGCTCCAGCAGCTCCCGTGTTGTCCTTTGCCAGGAATTCAAGATGACTGGCAAGGCCCTGCAGAAAGGCCTGGACACCCCCCACAGCAGCTGTACTATGTTTGGTATCCAAAGGCTGTCTTATAGGGACTTCTGGGGAAATACTTCCTCCCACCCCCAGTCCTGGATAACTCCTCTTTTGTCAGCCTCAGCCTAGACCAGCATCTTCCAATAGAACTTTCTACCATGATGGAAGTGCCCTGTAATATACATGTGACTACTGAGCACTTGAAATGGGGCTAGTAGAACCTGAATTTTCAATATTATTTAATTAATTTAAAGTTTAAAAGCCAGGGTGCCTGGGCGGCTCAGTTGATTAAGTGTTTGCCTTTGGCTCAGATCATGATCTCAGGGTCCTGGGATCAAGTCCCATGGCAGGCTCCCTGCTCAGTGGGGAGTCTGCTTCTCCCTCTCTCTCTCTGTCTCTCCCCCCTACTTGTGCTCGCTTACTCTCTCTCTCAAATAAATAAATAAAATCTTTCTTTAAAAAAGTTTAAAAGCCACATGTGGTTTGTGGCTAGCACACTTCATACAACTGCTGAGCTTTTTGTGAATCTCCCTCTCCAGTCTGGGTTAGGCTCTCTTCTTGGTACCATTTCTGGCACCCATACACTTACCACATGTTTTTATTATTATTAT